ATTTTGCTAAGGATAGTTCTGCAACTTCTTAACCCCTCACAACTATCATCTTATTACCTTGAATGTAACTCAGGAAGTACCTTGAACTCCACTGAAAAAATAATGCTGGACTTTGGAAAATACAGAAAAACCACTTAGCTTTAAGATTTCAAATATGGACAGTCCAATGTCCCAGATCCCTGAATACTAGTGGTAATCAAACTTGGGTTTAAAAACCAATTACTTCCCACACAATACTGAGTTGATGTTGATCAGTAGAAGGAAAATCCATTAAAAACTTGTATTCTCAATAGCATTCCCTCTTTATTAATACTCTGGTTGTTGAAATAACTTGCAGTTTGTGGCTCTCTTTGGTACTGAATACACAAAACAGTTGAGGAAAAAGACAAAACTTCTTAGATCTACAATCAGTTATATAACTCAGACTTATTTATGAAACAAACACTTCTATGTTCTGAATAAATGATTTAACATGTTTATTCTCTTGTATAAGAATAAAGTTGTCATATATCCTTCAGAAAAACATTTACAAGCTTTAAAGTGCAAAATAGGTCATCAACAACACACCATCTAATATTGTGTTCTCCACAGCTCCATTTAAGAAGTCCACTCTCAGATGTACAACATATTCAATGCCTTCAGCTAAGCTTTCTCTTGCCTTCTCCAACATTATAGGACAAATACAGTCCACTGGAACTTGACAGACTAAAACTTTCAAAAGGTAAAGAAGATATTCAGATAACCTGTTCCCATTAAATTTCCAAGTCTGGCTGTTGGCTGCAGCATTCTGTGTTAGCCTCCCTTGAAAGATCTCAGCCAAAACTGACAGTCAACCTGAGCTGGAGGAGGAAGTCAGAAAATAAGAATCTTGGAGAGCTGGATGTGCTTTCTGCAAGCAAATGCTGTGTGCTTGATCACAGACCTTAGTGCAATTCACGGTACACGAAGTTCAAGTCTTTAGCTTAGCTTTCACACACCTACATAACACCAACACAGCTCAGAAAAATCACATTGCCTTACCGTTTGTTCAGCTTGAAACAGATGTGTGAGCTTACAAGCCTTGTTTCAATGTTTAATGTACCTGAGAATTATGCAGATGACATAAGATTCATGAATATGCATGTGTCTCAAATAAAATACATCAGCATGCTTTGAAAGAGTCCCTCTCTACAAATGAAACTAAAAACAAACCCCCCAAACAGCAGAGGTTGTGGAGTAATCATAATTCAAGATATGACTGAGGTGGGGGGAGAAGTCTGCACAACACAAAGCTGGAATTAAGACCTCAAGTAGGGAATATTTGGGCATTTTTCTTGTTTGCAAATACAGAAAATATGAACAATAGCTATTTTAAAATAAAAATTAGTAAATTATCAATCCAAAATGAGCATGAGTTTCAAATGAGAATATCGAATCAACATTAGATGCTACAGAACATTTGATAATGAGAAGTTTATAGATGATAAAATGCATTTAATAAACTATAAGTGTTGTCAGAAATCTCCACTGCATCACGCTATCATAAATGTCTTAGAGATTGATATTACCTAATTGAGGGTGGGGAGAAAGAATGTTCCTTTCCTTTTTTCTGTTGTTCCTTTGAATGAGAATTCTTAAAAAAATTGCCATAAATGCAATTCAAACAATTTGTAACAGAAACCTTTTTGGGATTCATCAACAAATTAAAGTCTTCTAAGCCGTTTGGTCTATGACAAAGAGGATCTCTCTTATAGTCAAAATAACATCTTGTTTATTTTGAGACAACCAAGAGGAAATTCCTTAAAGACCAGTGAATATGCAGCGTTGGCTGCAAATTAATGTGTGCCCAGTGCACTACAAATAATTTTTGACAATTAGACACTTTGACAATCATCTTAGATAAATCAGATCAGAACAGTCTTCTTTGGAACCTCACAGACTACCAATATGCCTTGAAAAAGATATGTGTATGGGTGATGCCAATTGCATTTGTAGCAAAAAAATCCTCCTCATTGAAATCCATGGAACCATTACAGGCCCCAGATAAAAGTATCAAGAAAAGATGAAACTGTTCAAGACAGTTCCAATAAAATGACAAGCTGGAACATCTACAGAGAGAGGAGAGCTGGAACGAGTGTTAACAATAAAAGCAGCACTCAGATGGGAAAAGCCTGGTCTAATCCAAACATTTAAAGACAATCCTAACAAGTTAAAACTCTGTGTCATCGTTACACAACATTAAATGACAGCTAGATCCTATATACTATATTTCCTGAATTTATGCTAAACTAAGCTAAGTTCATGATATCTGAACAACTCCAAACAGCAAGAAAGAAAATCACTAGCATTGGAAATAAAGAACTCTAGCACACTCAAATTCATCAGAAAGAAGAGAAAGGGCAAGCACTAATCTCTTTCCAGCATCTGTATCACAGCATGTGGGGTGACAAGCACCCCAGTTATCAACTGCAGCAAGGGTAAGTGGCTTTAAAGAAGACTTCCTTAACTACTTTGATTTTATTTTCAGATAGTACTAAAATAAAGCAAGAAACATTTTTTAAAGTCACTCAATAATATGTAGAAAAAACAGGTACTTGATATAATTAGTTTGGACCCTGAAAGATATCACAGTCTTAATGTGCAGTACCTTCTTGGCCTCTGTTAAAAAGGCTTACACAATCACTCAGGGCTGATTACTTGTATGGACTGCAACACTACAGAACAAAAAAGACAGGTAAATTCAAACTATGATCTAATCAGACTGGAAATCTCTCTACGTATATGCCTTGTTGAGGTGAACTAGGTTAAAAAATACCAGAAAAAGAGTAAAATACAGCCTAGAATCCAATATGATATAAGCTATAGCCATCCCACAGATGTTCATGCAGTTTCAAAACCTTACAACGAGATCCTGATTAAAAAATAGTCTACAGAAATAGCACTGCTCTCTGTCTTACAACACACATACTCCTCCTTTTTCCCTGCCTCTCATCCCCTACCTTATTCCCTACCTCCATTACTAAAAATCCAGACACTGAGCCCCACTTCCTCCTAATTTTTACACCAGTGTAGCTCCAGTTATCCTACCCTGGCGTACTACTCAGAGTACAACAGTGCTATTTCACATCTTTTACACATCTTACAGCAACTGCAGACGACAGAGTTGTGGTTTCTATGACTCATGAAGGACATGGTTCTCTTCTAAATTATAGAAGGAGAAAAAACATGCAAATAAATACGCATGAGACAAACTGCATCTAAAGACATAAGAGCAACAGAAAAAGTATTAGCAGGAGAGGAATTAAAACACTTCTGCTTCTTTTGCAAGTTATCATTTTATGGTTGGACTTGATCTTAAAGGTCTTTTTCAACATAAAGGATTCTACGATTGTCATCTCCAGAGAATTTTTCCGGATCTGTTAATTATAGAATAATTTAGAAGCAATGTTTATTCACTCCAGAGTGGTTTTCTTGTGGAGGTAGTGTAATTTTGGGATTGATTTGTTTTGTTTTGGGAGATTTTTAATTCATTATGAATCTCTTCCTAAGTAGCTGACTATGGCTTGCACATCAAGGATGAGACCCGAAGCACTGCTAATCGTACAGTTGTCCGCCTTTCCCCTGCAGTGGCCTCAGGATTAAAAGTATTAAGATGGTGCTGAGGGAAGAGCTACAAATACCAGAAACTTTGCAGTTAGCACAAGGATTTATGCTAAGCATATATCTGCTCTTCTCCTACAGTTCTCTCATGTCCCCATCTCACCAGCACAATACCCAGCTTCTTCCCTACTTTTCAATATTTTCCCTAGATTCTTTGCTGCAATATTCTCTTTGGTTCAATTTCTGACAAACACAGAACCACATTAGCAGCAGAGGCATACTGCCACTGACTGATTTGTTAGGGGGCCATTAAATACAGAGTATAATGTTAGATGTGTATCTTCTTTTTCATTACAGTAACTCCTTCCTGTGCCTGCCTGACAACTGGTAGGCCAAATGGTTTTGTGGCTTATTTAGCATCTCACAGTTCTTATTTCTCAAACCAACCATCTTTCCCATTACAATTCGTGTCTATTTTCTCAGAAAAATTAAATCCCTCCTTACATTGCTGAAAAAAAAAATGAATTGCATAAGTCTACCAGCTCCTCTAACATTCTAATCAATTTATAATGTACAAATTAATACTGTCTTATTATCTGAACATACATTTTGAAGGGTTTTGTAAGGCTAACACTTCTCCATAAGACACAGAGCCTTCAAGTACATCCTGAAGTTCTTACCATGAGATCCTGCCTGCCCCCAGTACTCAGTAGCTCAGCGTGCTGCCAAGCACACTCAGACTATTCAAAGGCAGTTATGCTGTTGGAAGGCAAGTTCATACTAAGAGGACTGTGCTGATGTGCATTTCCATGCCCACCTGTTGCCCAGAAGCAGCTAACACAACCTATTTCAGAAACCGTACTGAAAAATTACCAAGAAAAGTAAACAGTTCTGTAGAATTGCTATTGCTATTTTATTTTTATAAGGTTTTTCATAGTTACACATCAAAGCTGTGTTCTTGCTATAAGCCGTCACAGAAAATTAGTTTACTGCACTCAAATTTTTTGTTTCATAAAGATATCAGCATTATGGGCATGAGGCCAGTTGAGAATAAGGGGCCACTATAATAAGCCCTATCCCTTCAGAGGTAGTAGTGCCCTGGGATACATATCAAAATCTGTTGTGAACACTTATGCATTTGAATTCTTCATAATACTCATGATCCCAAAAGGGAAATACCTAGCATTGGGTAAACTGAGGCAGAAGAAAGCATTCTTGCTTTCAGGAATGAAATGGACAAAATGTATGGAAGGAGAAAGCATCTCCCACAAACTGAAACACAAATTACACTCAAAAATCCTGAAATCCAGTTTTTGCCATTTAGGTTACACCAGGCATTGTACTAATACTCTCCTAACGAAATTAGACTTTTAACAAAAGTGTACCAAACAGAAATGGCTGTTTAGGCCGAGAAGCCTCACCTCAATGAGATAGTGAGAACACAAACTGAGAAGCTCCAGCAGCTGTAAATGACTCCCAGCTGCCAGGACGTCCTGAATCACCCCTGGTTCCAAGAGGATCTGTAAAGAAGAAAATGGAAGGTTTGTCATCTGGAACTCAGAGTACTTGTAGAAAACAGTAAGGGCTTTTGTTATTTCAGACATTTGAGTCAACATAAAGAACAGAAAGAGTACAATTAAGCATATAGAGAAGTCTTTGCAGGATGGGGACAGTGTCTAAAGTTCATCTGAATTGCCCAAAGGATTTCTAAGCTTTTTTTTTTTTTTTCCCTGTGACAGTCCATAAGCCACATTACCCTCTAAATATTTTGAAACTAAATGCATGCTGTTTAGTTAAGAGGGAGACTTTTCAAAATAACAGACCCTGCTTTTATCTACATACTTGGATGCATCCATATATACTGATGAATCAGGCCAACAGAACTGACTCAGAAGTCTCCACTATTAATATTATTCATGCGTATTAAAAATATACAGACTAGGAACACCCTTCCTATTCTGCATGGTACCACTTTATAATTTTCCTAACCACTGTCTTCATTTTACAGAGCAGGGCTCTGAAAGCACAATGAGCATGCTGCTGGGGAAGTGCCGGAAAGGGCTTAGAAACCAAGACTGATTATTCAGTCAGTTGCTCACATGAATCTCCTACTCATTTCAATTAAAATCATGTAGAGGCAGCAGTAAGGATAATTGGACCACAGCTGCTAGACTGCTGTCTTGGGGTCAGCTTGTTAGAGCATCCCTTTTGGGAAACAAAAAAGTCTTTGGGAATAAAGACACTGGTCAACTTCTTATTAGCAATCACACTATAAACTACATAAACTAAAATTATTTAAGTAGTGCAATATCCAACAAAAATCAGAAATCCATAAGAAAAATTAATTTTTTAAAGATGCTTGCTTTATTCAGTTTTATCCTTGTATTTCCTCTGGCAACTTTGGTTTCACACCACATGAGGTCAGTGTCTCACTGCTCCACAGGGAAGAAAAGCTTTTTTTCAGATCCTTTTTCTTCTGCCCACATGATTCAGTTTTACCTCACAGCATCAACTGTATACCTCAAATACAGTAGAATAAGGAAGAAGGCAAACAAAAGGAAAGACACTCATCTGCATCTTTTGTAGTTTAACTATTTTTGAGGGAAAATGAAAAATGTGTATGCATTTCTTCAAGCAAAACCACAAAATATCTCCAACACAATGGATATATAAGGAGAGAAGGGGCCTGATCCTTGTTTATACCGAAAAATCCTTGTTTATAGAAGAACTCATTTATACTGAGTTCTGGGAGTATATGACATGCTTAAAGCTTGTGCAAATCATCACATATATATTAATACTAGGTTTTAATTGAATATTATATGTAATTTACATACTATACAAAAGTTCTTCATCAAGCCAGAAAGACATGTAAGGATCTTAATGTAAATGAGAATCAGCCCCAGCACCATCCAGGTTTTTGGTTGGTGCTACTGAGGTTGCTTAGCATGATGAGAAAAATATGGAAAAATAGAACAGATTTCAGTCAAAAAAATATCTCCAAGAGGTATGGATATTGAAAAAAAAAAAAAGAAGCAGCACTGTCAAGTATGTTCAAGTGAGAACTCAAGGTCAGACTGACAAAACAAGCTGGTACAGATCTTGCAGTGTATGTTATTCAGACATGAGCTACACTGAGAAAGTTGCCATCTGATGGTGCGTTACTTACTAAGTGCCAGCCACCAGTTTTGCATTGTTAAAGACACAATATGAAGAGAATCAGAACCCCAAGCACATTAGTACCTTGTAGGTGTAGACAAACTATATTTAACTCTGATAGTATTAATGTATTTTAAAGCTACAGCAATCCGTTTATAAATAATACTGGTAGCACTTTGAGATGAGAAGTAGGACAAGAGACAAGGAGGGTGTCTGGCTACTGTCTAGAGGTGATTTGCACAAACTCAGTAACAAAAGTGTATTTCAAGATGGCAGACATATTTCTTACATGCTCTTCCATTTCTTACAGCTTTCCTATACCATGCAAGATTTATTGTGCTGAGAAAACATATTCAGCTTTGAGTTTCCCAAGGTAATTGAGGAAAGTCTAGTTTATCCCTTCAAAAAACTTTGCCATAAATGGAACTACCTCAACTTTTATTCAATACTCACTTGGGGATATGCAAAAATAATAGTTCATCTATGCTAAACATTCACCAGAAGCAAACTGCATGCTGGGGAAATCCACAAGAAACAGAAAACAATAAAAAGGAAGAAAATATTGCAAACCTTCCTTCTACTGAAACTGGGGTGATTCAAAATTATTCCACACCTCTCAGCTTCTATACACTAATAAAATGACTTGATTTTTATTAATTACCAGCATAGTTGTTTATATGTTATTCGGGCCATCCATATTAACACAAATGAATATTAACATAAATGCAGTTAAATACCACCACATGCACACCACAAGCACACACAGTAAGGAAATATGTAATTTCATGTCAGAAAATTCTAGAAAGTAAACGATATGGAATTTAACATAGAAAACAAGAAAAAATATCTAAGATTCCTGCCCCTTTGATGAAAAAGAAAATTCCTTCTTGACTTCACTTGCAGTGATCAGCATTTAAAACGAGACAGGCATCTAACAAAAGTATCACTTGTTTTTGCCTGATGGAGATCTTTCTGTGTGCTTGAGAGCAATCAAAACCCTTAACTTTTCTTTTAAAGTAATTTAGACTGCATTTCACTCTCAACCAGACAGCACTTTTGCCTGTCTCCCTGTTCATTCATGCTTCAGTTGAATTCTAAGCTCCTTGCACATTGACAAATTCTGCTTCAAAAAAGTGAATTGGGAAAGAATGTTCTAGTTCCCTGCAGGCAACAGTCCAAAGCCCTGGCATGTAATGTTTGGTAGCACTCGTTACAAAATCCAGATGTCTCATTAGCCAATACCGGAAGGAATCACAACCAGCATCCTCTGATATAGGTTATAATATTTTTCCAGAAAACTAAATGAAAATTTGTGTTAAATGCACACCATATACATCGTAAAATCATGGAATATTTCAAGTTGGAAGATGATCTAGTCCTATGTCTCTGCTCCATGTTTCTCCTAAACCACATGACTAAGAGTGGCACTCCTTGTACTCTGACAAGCTTGGGGCCATGACCACTTCCCTGGGGAGCCTGTTCCAGTGATCTACCACCCTTTCAGTGAAGAACCTCTTCCTAATGTCCAGCCTGATCTTTCCCTGACATAGCTTCATACCACTATGAAGTAAATACCACTATTAGAAGTAAACAGGATTTGAATAAGCAAGACTCCAAGCAAATTCACTATTTTTTGGCGAAGGTGTTTCATTACTTTAATCATTTTCAGCTCTAGAAAGGCTGTCTTGTCCCTAGCTTAATTTCTGTCCACAGCAAATAACATGGAACATTTAACTTGCTGTAAAATAAACTTCATAAAATGAGTTAATTAAGCTTTGTATTATTCTAAGCCTTCTGGGCAATCTGTACCTGAACTGTGAACCTAACACCTAGCAGCTATAACCTAGTGCTAAGCACAGAAACAAGATTATCCTCCTGATATAAGTGAAAAAGGAAACGCCCCTATCTAGGTATCACATTTTTACCTTTGGCTTTGAAATTGCATTGAAAAAGGATGTTAAGTATTTACAGTAAGACACAGACCTGTTGTATTCAGGTATCCATGACTTTGGCATTCTGTCCCCAGTAGTAAAGAAGGATACTTTAAGTCACTTTTGCGAGGGACAGCAGGTGGTTTAACTGATTCATTTCACTCAAAAGGCAGCCAGTGGAACTGCTAAGCACAGGATACTGAAGGCCACTTACCCAAGAAAATCAAACATCACAATACACCTTTGCAACACACCTTCATCCACAAGACAGAGAGGATTAACACAATAAGAGGTGCTAAGATATTGATAGCTATTTTCCCCGATCTTAACTAAAAATGGTAGGTGAAATACTTGTTGATCACTAGAAAAACTGTCAATATCAAATGAAGGGAGGAATTGATGAGAAATGAAAGCCAAGATTCTATAAAGGAATCAAAGCAATTATCAGGAGAAATTGTTGTACTTGAAAACATTTATTTGTACTATTTGTTTACCATCTGAGAAGATCTTTCATTCTTTCATGTTTTGGTCTTTTTGGTTTTTTTTGTTAAAGAAATAACTAATGAAAGTACAATTTCACAAAGAAGCTGTAAGCTTTAACAATTCAGAATAATTTTATAACTTTATGACAACAATTTAATTTCTATTAATACAGAAACAAAATATCATAGTTTAGGAAAAAAAACCAAAACGAGCAAAAAGAAAAGAGACCGGCCAGTTAGGAAAACAGCAAAACTTGGCATTATGCCCTAATAAAGCTACTGGTTTGCTGTGCTGTCTTTGGAAAGTAATTTTCTCCCAAAATAATTTCCTGTTTATGATGCAGCAAAGTAAGGACAGTGATTACTTGCTTTTATAATGTGTTTTGAGGTCCTTAAATAAAATTCTATCTAAATGCAAAATATTTCCATTACCATAGATTAAAGACATATGATAAAACATAGTTACCAAGAAGAAAGATCCAAGTCTGGAGCATTTCAGTATGCATAGGACTCCAACTGTGTGTTTGTATTTTTGTTGAATTAGGATCATCCACTGCAAATTAAAGCCAGTGCTCTTGTGACTCGCCAGCCAACTACACTGGCCTATTTAGGGGCTATCCCATTCCTCCAAATAAGATTGTGTCTCTTGCTAACAGAAGGGTTAAAATAAAAAAAAAATAGTCAAAAAGAAAAGAACAATGCCCATGACTCTCTAACACAGTGGTTAAGACTCTTAGTTGGACAGAAAGAATTGTGAGCTCCAAACTCTGCACCAAGAACTGCTTCTCTATATTAATAATCTAAAATACATAGTTCCTATATTGGATTGTACTTCATGTATCTCCCTTCCAATGCAAATCTAACACTTGGAAAAGGCAGGGCAAGTAATCTACTCACTGAGGCTCTGGCCTGGTCTTATTGCTGCCAGCTGTGAAACAGAAGAGAGAATGACCTTAAAGCCCTTTTACGAAGAAAGGATATGGCAACTACAACAGGAAAGTTGTAGCCTATCAATCAATTTTGATTATGGAATTATATGGTAAAATGCCTATGGTCAAGATGAAACATATTTAAGACTTTTTTTTACCAAAGATTTCATTATTAGAGGATTACTGAGAACCTATATGCATAGAACAAAATAGAATTCTGCTGCCATTCCTTTCATTAGTTTTACCTATTTGAACACCAAATTTCTTTCTCTGTGATGATTAAGGACCATAGTAATGGATTAACTCAGTTGGAATTATGGTATTATTTGTATTTGAGTTTTAAAACTTTTTTCTTCTGAACAATCAGGTTTCCCTTACAAACAAAATATTTCCAACAGTAATTATGATAAGGCACTGTCTGCCTAAGTAGACAGGAAGACCAAGTTTTTATTTTAAGTCCACAGGCATATTTAGAATTAACAAAATAGAGGCAAGGATGACAGAGTTTAATTTCAGATTTCAGTGTTATCCTAAAAATTAAATTTCTTAATTTTGATAACTTTCAAAAACTGCAGGCCATTGTGCAATATTAAATATTTCCACCAGATGTCTCCAATATATTATTTTTCACAGAAAGCTGCATTCAATTTGATGTGTAGCATCTCAAACGTAAGTTCAGCATATTAAAGAAATAAAGAGAAGAAAGCTGCAACTAATTACTTATCTTCTTAGACATAGACACTTAAGGAATTCCACAGCGTTACCTAAAGAAACATCCATTTTTTTTGACCAACATTTTGGCCAAATAAAAAAAAGAAACTAAATAGAGTTCATGGGTTTCACTTTTAAGAGGTATTTCAGATCATGTCTTGATACCTACATTTTCAGAGCAATATAAGATTGTATTTGGCATGAGTGAGTTTTGCGTTACTAACCAATATTTTATTTTTTAAATCAGAAACAGTTTGCAAACCAAACCAAAGATGAGTGTCTTCAGAACTCTCTCTCTGATGTAAGCATCCAGTAATCCAGTTTATTAATAGCCTTTGGGGATTACTCCCACTCACTGCCTTGAAATGCTCACCCAGATTTTGTCAGCCTGAGTCAGTACATAAGCAATGCTCAAGACATAGAAACCCAGTGCCAGAAGAGAATTTCAAGGCCTAAAGCAAAAAAGCAATACTGCTAATTCTCAGACCCACATTATCACTTGAGTTATGCTTCAAAGGCACCTTTATAAGAAAACTCCTGCAGAATACTTCTCATTTCTCTATTCATCAAAGTAGCGTTTGGTGTACCTGAGAGACAGGACAGAGCAAACTTCACCTTATAATCACTTATATGTATGAGCAACTGCACATACATGCACATCTATATTTAACTTAAGAACCCCATTCATTTATTCAAAGTAGATTATGCCTGAAAATGAAAGACTCAAAAGACTCTAAAAGAACCAAGGACAGAAGGCGCATATTATTTGCTAGGGAGCTGGGAATATTATCCTGGAAGCAATGTGCGGTTGCTTGTTGGGTTACATAAAAGCCATATCCATTCTTTCAAAGGTTCTCAATATATTTTACACATGTTTATTAGACTATGAGTTTTGCTGAAAGATGGCGAATATATCTAATCCCAACAGACAGGATGGGTCAGACAGAAATCAAATACAACCCATCCTCTCAAAAGGTACTTCTAACAAGAGTTCTCCCTTCAGAATAATCAACCTATAATTTAAAGTTACTAAAAAGGTGATACAGGTGCCTACCATTCCAATTTTTATCAAAACTTTCAACTGAAACAACGAAAAATATACCAATGACAAGTCATGTACTGAGATCTTCAGCTAATTCACTAATATAGTATGGCATCTCTATCTATCACTTATATAAAAGAAAACTTTCAATAAGTTCTGTTTTCCATAACAGTAGAAACACAGAAATTCAAGTGCTAAGCTATAACTGTTGTGTGGGCTGGTGACAAAAATAGATCCTTTAAAACAGGTAGGGTTTTTTTTCCTTATTCCTATTTAGTTTCTTTGTAAAAAAACAAAACAAAACAAAAAACCCCTAACCAACCAATCGAATAAACAAACAAACAAAAAAAACAAAACAAAAAAACCAAAACCAAACAACGAAAAGACCCATATAAGGCCATATACTCAATCCACAGTATAGAAGCAGATGCCTTAAATTTATATAACTCAACAGCTCTACCAGAATAACGCAATACGGATTTAAGCTTTCAGTTCTGAAATTAACTAATAAAGATCACTAATACATCAGTGGACTCAACTGTTGTACCAATATTCCAAAAATAGTTTGATTATCTGGAGTTTTAGAATCCAAAAGAGCACATAGCAAGGTGTTCTGAGCTCACTACCCAGGAACTCTGAATTGAGATGAAGTCACGCAGCAATGCTCTCAAACCATGCAGTGCAGAGATATGGCAAGGGGCAAAGGGAAAAGGAGCATCACTGCATTTTCTGAAGTGATATAATGTGATATCTAACCTGTGGTCATAGTGTCACAACGAAAATGTATAGTACCTATAAGCATTTACAAAGATACTTGAACTGCATCTGTCCAGAGAGTAAGAGACTATTTTTCTCCTAAATTATATAATTTTTCAAACACAGCAGAGTTTATAAATATTTTTTACTAGGAAAACACCTTTCTTTACATATAATTTAGCATGCAGAATCAACTCATATTAAGATTTTATGAACAGTCAGGCAACCACAAAAAGGGAATACAAATCCTACATGGTTCACTACCTGGCAATGATGCACATAAGTGGTGTTTTTATTAAACAATCCTTCTAAAGAAAAAAATCCATCACAGTATACAAACATTAAGATCTGTTGAATCAAAATACCTTGTACTGGGTAGTGCAGAAGAAAAATAATTTCTAGTACTTCTGAAAAGGACATACTCAGTTTTTATTGCAGTTGCTTTCAACTGTGTTTCTTACTTTGAAGAATTGCACAATACCTGTCCAGTATATGCAAAGTCCAGGGCTTGTTTTAAACCAAGGCTTGTGACACCATGTAAATTCACCTCATCGGCTTCACTTTCAACCATGCAGAGACTAAACATTGCCTATGGAAAAAAGAGAAACGTTATTAACCAATTTTGGATAAGAAATCTAAATAGCAACACACCTGAGAGCTAGAATGAGATCTATACCAAGGTTTCAATATTAACCTTACAGCAATCAATCCTTCAACTGAGTCCTTTTATCAATAAAGAAATACAAAAACTTATTCTGGAAAAACTGAAACAAATCCCTTTGGTCCATGTATATATACTTCTTAACTAAATAATTCTGGTGAAATCAATGGGAACAGTCACACAATAAGGTATAATTCAATAAAAAAGATAACTGGACTCTGGGAAAAAATAATCTACACAAGCACCACTAGAAATAATATTTATGTATAATATCATTATATATAAGAAGGAGCAATAAACCATACACAATTACTTGTTAGAGAAAAAGGGGTAGTTAACATACCATCTTTTATAAACAATCCTTTCCAAATAAGCATCTCACACCAGAATCTGAACAATATAATACTCTAGCTATTGAATGAAGAGGAAGAATGGAGATGCAGTCACCTAAACTTACAACCTCCCCCTACTTGCTATTGCCCCAGTTTCTCACATCATAAAACCTAAAGTGAAGATAGGTAAGGTGCTATGGAGCATCCCTGAAAATAACACTGAGGAAAGCAACTGTCATTTTATCAAGCCTCATTTTCCAGATGATTTGTCTTCAGTGCCTCCCTGGACTGAAGCAACCCTAATCAGCCCTCTGAATCCTTGTGAGAATCTTTTTCTTCTCATCTCTGTTAAACTTCTTTGCCCGTCACTCTTTCCTCCCGGCCTGCACTCCCACTACAGTAGCCCTACTTACCACTTCTTCCCTCCTTATGAGTCCCATTCTCCATTCTTTGTCACTCCCCCATACTTTTTAAACAAAATACACCACTCCGAATCTTTAAACAGTAAACTGTGAACAAGTGAACTGAATAGTTCTACCACCTGTCATTGCTAAAGAAAGTCTAAATTTATCCCCAATAGATTTTGTGCCAAACTTAATGTCTCTGCTGTGGCTGCCAAACTTCACATTGGAGAACTTGAGTTACAAAGCACTTCCCATGAACATAACCTTCTCTCTATACTCTGGCTGATACCTGCAGAAGCTGAGACAGTCAACAAGCACCGCTGAATTTAAAGGAAAAAAAATAAGCTCTACCCCCTCTAACTCTTTAGCACATATGAATGACTACATGACCTATAAAGGTCCCTTCCAACCCAAATTATTCCATGATTCACCTAGACTCAGGTGGCTTCACGAACCAAATGCTTCCTGCAATACTTCCATCATTAAAACACCATAATTTGGCATAAATCTGTTGCCTGGAAATCATCCAGTATAAGCAAGAGTGATACTTATCACACACTCACTCAACAGAAAAAAAGTGACAAATAGTTTAAAAGGTTTATCAAACAAATGTAGAAGACGCAATGTAGATAGAAAAAAAAAATCTAGTGAGTTCAGACACTTTTCTAATCCATTAAAAATGTCATCATAGTTAGATATTTTGTTGTCATTTAGATGTATCAAATGAGCTCTAATAGGTACTGTGAGGCTTCAGAGCTTGCCAGGAACTGCGAAGTACCCATCAGCCACCTATTCCTTGCAAAAGCAGACTTGCAGCTGGTGTCTTGAAGAGATAAGCTTCTCTTAGAAATTCACTACTAAACAAACTTTTTGGATAATATTGGTTTCTGAATTTCTGAATAATGAGCATAAAATATCAAAGCAACACCTGTCTTCACAGGGGTAGATTTGCACACCTTCTGTACACTCAGTTCCATCACAGACTGCCTGCAGAAACACTGGAAACGCTCAGTGATACAAGATGCTCTGCATTCTCCAACTATGCTACAGTAATAGTCTGTACACTATCAACTTGTATATAGGAACCATGAAAAGACAGTGTGGTTACTAATACAGGTTTTATTCTGATCGAGAGATGATGTTCCACACTATGAGTTAAGTTTAACAGAGAAACAGAGAAACACTTAACTGAATCTCATCTGTAGATCAGGCATCATTTCTATATGACCTCTTCTGTGTAGAATTACTAACTTTATGTTTAGGAGATTATTTTAACGCAGGTTCCAACACTGTCTTTACACAAGCTTTATTACTACACCTAACAGTAAACCCAGCAGGATCAGGCCACTAGCTCAGTCACTGTTCATAATCATCCAGAGTGTTTAACAAACACAGCCTCCAGAAGAGCTCTGATCCTTGCCAACTAGCATTCTCCCAGGCAATGCCCAGATTACGGTCCTGGGGATAACTCAAGCCATAGCTGTTCCAAACAGGCAGCCTAGATAAAGCCAGCCCATTTGCAGATGTTTAGCCATATTGTCACAAGTCATGCTATGCCAGTCCCTTTCAGGGCCAGAAAACAAGCCCTCATTCACCTTATTTTCCACTACAGACATAGGGTGCAATGGGCTATCAGAACTGCAGCTGCCAGTAAGCAACAAGACTACGGCTTTGCACAGAATTATAGAATGGTATGGTGTACTAGGGAGGGTTCAAAACCCTACTGAAACTTGAAACCAAGACACCGTTAAAAGCTTAACAAAAACCAATATTTATTACCAAGAGGTGGCCAACAAAACGAACAAACCCAAAAGGGAGGGAAGAGGAGAGAAATAAGCCCCCAGCACGACCTCCCCAGTTACCCAGCTGTTGCCCATAAAGTTATCTTACCGACCTAGCATGCCTATAATTACCCATAGCAGAAGCTGCATCCTTGGAGAGTCAGTAAGTTCACAAACTGGCAGGTGTCCCTGCCGAAGGCAACGTTGTCCTTGGTGTGAAGTTAGCTCTCCCACAAGAAAGCGCTATCTGCTTTTTATACAATTAATTGAGTGGCCACAACCTCCCAGGTGCAGCCAGCACCACCCAGCCCGAGGCCCTCAGTCCCACCTCCCGGTTATGTAAGTGCATCTCCTGCGCACGCGTGGCTTTCCCTGTGCCTGCGTACTGCACTCAGGGGGGTCTTTTCCAAATGAGTCTGGGGGTGTCCTTCATCCTCCTCCTCCTCAATCTCTCCTTCAAGAGACCTTGGAGGACAACTAGCCAATCACAGAATACCAATTAAAACAGTTTATACAAGAAGCTCTCTTCAAGGACAACTTTCCCGTTTATCAGTGCTTGTTTTCCCATAACTTGGCAAGGGAAAGAGCAAAGCTTTCACAGGTGGCAGGGCCAAACACAGACCAAAAGTATCAGCATAAATTCACCCTGGTACATATGGGTTGAAAGGGATTGTAAATATCATTTAGTTCCAACTCCCTGCTGTGGGCAGAGACACCTTCCACTAGACTAGCTGAAAGCCCCATCCAACCTGGCCTTAAACACTTCTCTGAGCAACCTTGTTCCAGTGCCTCACCACCCTCACAGTAAAGAATTTCTTCTCAGTGTCTAACCTAAACCTAGCCTCTTTCAGTTAAACTGAAAGCCTTCCCTCTTGTTCTATCACTACATGGCCTTGTCAGAAGTCCCTCTCCAGCTTTCTTGTAGGCTCTGTCTACATAACGGAAGGCCACAATTAGGTCACCCCAAAGCCTTTTATTTGCAGGCTAAGCAAACCCAATTCTCTCAGCCTTTCTTCATAGGAGAGGTGCTCCATCCCTCTGATCAACCTGGTGGTCCTCTTCTGGACTCGCTACAACAGGTCAGTGTCCTTCCCATGCTGAGGAGCCCAGAGCTGGATGCAGCACTATAGGTGGGGTCTCACCAGAGCAGAGTAGAGGGGCAGAATCACCTGCCTCATCCTGCTGGCCACACTGCTTTTGATGCAGACCAGGACACAATGGCCTTTACGGGCTGCAAGTGCACATTGCCGGCTCATGTCCAGCTGCTCTTCCACCTCAGCAGGGCTGCTCTACATCTGTTCATCTCCCATCCTGTATTGAAACCAGGGCTTGAAACCAGATGCATCATCTTGCACTTGCTCTAGTTAAACCTCATGAGATGCCCCTGGGCACACTCCTCAAGATTGTCCAGGCCCCTCTGGATGGCATCCTATCACTCAGGTGTGTCAACTGCAGCACTCAGCTTAGTGTCATCTGCAAATTTCCCAAGGGTGCACTCGATCCCTCCATCTGTGTCATTGATGAAGATATTAAATAACACTGGTCTCCATATGGACCCCCGAGAGACACTACTTGTCACTGATGTCCATCAGGACTCTGAGCCATTGACTCACTGTCTTATCCATCCAGCAGTCCACTCACTGAATCCACCTCCTTCTACTTAAGAGAGAAGGATGTTGTGGGGGACCATGTCAAAGGCTTTACAAAAGTTCAGATAGATGACATCTGTAGCCCTTCCCTTGTCCACTGAGGTAGTCATTCCATCGTAGATGTGATGCCATCTGCTATTCAGACTTCATTTTCTCAAATAATACCCTCAAGTATTCTGTGAAGGTTTTTGATACTAAATATGAACTACATCTATTTTCAGGAGGCAAGGTCAAAGAATCAGATTGAAAGATAAGGTCTGCAATGGTCCTCAGACAGTTCACATTCAACTGAACTGGATTAGCCTTCAGGAAAGTAGTCCGCCACTTAGATGAACTTAGTACTGCTCAGTGATCCATACTGCCTTCACCAGCAGGCAAATTTCCTTCTCAGCCTTGTAGTTTTAAGGTTTAATCCAGCATGAAAAAAATCTGTTCTAACATAGGCAGAAATTGAATTCAAACTCAGTTTTTAATTTGCTCTACAGTACTTGAATATTGTAGTTTAACTGTAAAAAAATGTGAATCATTAAATCATAGTTTGAGACTTCACCAATACCTGGAGAATGAGTTATGGTTGGGCTGTCAAACTCTAATTTAAGATGCATCTCTGAAAACACTCTGAGGTTCTGTGAGCTTAAATAGATCCATCAGTCATGCTTTTAATGCAAGGCTAGTAGCCTACTTTATTTTTCCTCTGGGTATGTTAAAAACAAGGCAATAAGATAAATGTCTCAGGTGGATGCAGAAGAGATAAGACAGGAA